GGGGGGGGGTGGAAATCAAAGTATAAATAAGGGGAAATGCAGAGATGTGCTGCTGATTTCAAGCTGTCATTGTGTTGACAGGCATTAGGAGAGATTGCTGGAAATCAACTGACGCAGTGACATTTCCCAGCGTCAAATCCCCAACTTCTGCCAAGATTTTAACAGCAGGCAGTGTTAAAAGCAGCATGAGGTGTGAAAAACAATCAGATATGTCTTAGTTGGCTTCTGCTGTCATGCTTTAAATTAAAGCAATGCTGTTCAAACCACTTTAAGCAAACATGACAGCAGGAACTCTGGAAGAAATGCTCATGGCTCTATGTTGAGTCAGTTTGGTGGCTGCATGATTACACTATTTAAAAAGGGTTCAGGATGGTGTGACACGCGTCGGGGAAATCTTGTTTGTGTCTTCATGCTTGCCACCGGTCTGTATAATCCAATTGTTTCTGCTCACACAGACTTATTGTTCCTGGGTGACAAGCTCACTGCAACAGTTGGACCAACGGGCCCACTAATTGTCTCAAAATATGTTACCCTGGCTAATGTTGGTCACTTAGTAATCTTTCTCTTAGGCACAGTGGAAAAGACAAAAATAATCCAAGGAGGATTAGGGTTAGCCGATAGTTCCATTACTAAGTGGTGTTCGATACCCCCAATTTTCTTTCCAGTTCTATCAGAGGTCGTGTTAATAGAATATTTTCCATATTTGACCATTTTTTTACACAATGACGGAAAAATCTGAAGGCCGTCCATCATTTTGACAGATTGCAAACACCCCGACCTCTTAAAACCTGTTTTATACTTCGAGTCGCACGTCTTTTCCCCCCTGCTGAGTAAAAAAAATTAAATTAAAATAGCGCAACTTCCATCTGCTTACCCACTGCTATACCCCATTAACAACCGTCATGCGCATGGCGTCCAGTCAGAACTGTGCCAATGGGACGTCGCAGCTCTCAGTGTGTGATAGGTCCAGAGTTTGTGGGTGTGTTTGTTCATGAGGAGTGCCGCAGAGGGCCAGTGGTCTTCAGCTGTGGCAGTGCCGAGGAGTTGGAGCTGGACCAGAACAGGACACGAGCAGATCAGTTCTTTCTGCGTGTTATTTTATTTAAAATTATATATTTTTTGTCTGAAGCCAGTTTTAAAAAGTGCTCAAAGAGCAGCTGGTTTGATCCAGGTCCCAAGGATGAACATGAGCGCGCAGCTGGTTGAGTCTTTTTTTCCGTCCACCAATACAAAAAAAACGACTTCACTTCACTCAACACTGATATTTAGTGGAAAAAACACTATCCAGCCATCATTATTGTAGTTCCTTTTCAGTCATTTCTCTCAGTACAACACTTGTTGTGTTGTGTATGGGACACACGCCCTTCGCACGCCTGGCTGAAGCCACCTCTAATCAAGTCTTTAGACCGGTGACGTGGTGACATTCAACGTCGGGTGACAGGCTCCGCCTCCACCCTAGTTTGGCGTCACCGGCATCATTACTCAGTTCTATCGCAATTCACCTCACAATAGACACCTCTACCCTGAGCTCACATAGCTGCTGCTAGTTAGCTCAGCTTCCAGAAGGTTCTTAAGCCAGCTTAACTACTGGTGTTAACCGCGTTACCTGCTGGTCCGTGTGTCTGCCTGCTTAACGCTACTTTAAGTGATCT